AACAAGTCTTGTCAAAGTTGCAGTGACTTCCATGGTGCCTCACCCAGTTGTCAGCTGCACCCCATCATCCTTCTGGTCCTTCTCTCCTCTTTTTCCCTATCCTCTCACTCCCCACCTCTTGATTCAGAAAGATTTCTGTCAGGCCCTCAGCTTTGCAGTTATTTAAGCATTACTCCGTTTTTCTCTTCTGTTTTTATGATTGCTAGATTATTTATTCTACCTTCTGTAACTTTTCTCACCTTTTAAAAAAGCCTCCTGGCTTTGAATTCCTCTTCATAATTCCTTTGTTCTGTTGTAGCACTCACTAGGAAGGAATCTGCTTGCATTTCTCTTTCCAGCTCTTCCTGGAATCCACTTTAGTCAGGCGTTTGTCTCCTTTACTTCAGAAAAACAACTCTTGTCAAGGTTGCAGTGATTTCCATGGCACCAAATTCAGTTGTCAGTACTGTGTCTTCATCTTGCTTGGGCTGTCAGCAGTATTTGACACTGTTGCAAATTCCCTTTTCCTCCATGTGGGTCAGGAAATGTACAGGCCTTCGGTGCCCTGCCCTTGGTAACGGCTTGTCTGGCAGCCTCTGCACTGATGCGGAAGATCTGAGAGCTGTGCTTTGTTTTTAGACTTACCTTCTCTGCCTGCCTTTGCGCCTCAGCCTCAGTGTGTGTCATCTGCTGATTGTTCTGGATTTCTCAACTTGTAGTCTAGCCTTTCCCTCTGAACAGTATAGATTTATATACAGACCAACTCACTCAGCTTCCGCCTTTGTAGTGTATATCTCAAATTCAGCAGAACCTGTTCCTCTGCCAAACCATTCCTTTTGTAATTTTCCCCGACTCAGGACTTGGCAACTTGGTCTTTCCAGTTTCTCAGGACTAGAACTTTGTGTTTATTTTTGCGAGTCCTAGCAGGCCTGCTTTCAAAACACCCACAGCTCAATCATTTCTTACTGCCTCACTCTACAGGTCTGATGTTGCCTCTTTTGCCTTGTTTTGTATCTTCTGGTCTTTTCTTACCTGATATCCCCCTAACTGCCACCTCCCCACTACACACACACACACACACACACACACACACACACACACACACGCATATGGATATGTATATATATACACACACAAATATATGGATACATACACGATACATATATGTATATGCACACATATATATGGGATACACACCATATATACACACACACACACACCACACACACTCATTCCTAGCAATTGTGGTTCACTGAATCTGATCACGTCATATCTCTGTTCAGAATCTTATATGGGTTCCTATCTCCCTCAAGGTCAGAGCCAACTTATTGTTTACTATGTGTAAATACCGGCACCTGGAGTAAAAGTCCTACGCCCTGGACTCCTATTGATCCCTATGTTTCATCTTTTATTTATCTTTTGTTTGAATACTCCAGAGCCATCTTGCCTCAGGCTCTTGACATTACTATTATCTCTGCATCACACACTTGCTGGTCTTGTTCCTCTTGTCCTACCATTCTTCCTCAGGTGATATTCTGGTGAGATGAGCCCCCATTGCTCATCTATATGAGCCCCTATATTCTTAGGCCCATACTAACATCTTCAAGCACACTGCAGTTTAGTTATCTGTTTTCTATTTGTATTTATTGTTACTTCTCTCTCTGGAATGTGAATGTCAGAAGGGTACACCTTTGTTCACGAGTGTCCCCAGTGTTAGAGTGGGTTCCTGGATGTAGTAAGCCCTACAGTAAATAACTACTAAAGGAATCAACTCAGGAAGCCTCTGTGAGCCACCTGACATTCTACTTTAGCCCTGTGATTCATTGCTTGGCAACCAAGGTATGCTTTTCTTGTTCATGGAGCCCAACATTCATTGCATTGTGGACCACTTTTTCTTCATGTTTCTTTACCAACAATTAATTTTCCCTTTGACCTGTTTTCTGTGCTTCAGAGGATTTCAGGGGGAGGTTGTAATTCTACTAAGATCCTCTTGTTAGCCAGTGTTCCTAGCAGTCTTCCTGCCTCCAGAACAGGTGTTAGGATTATCTTCCATCACTCTCCTACATGTATTATGAGGGTGCTGACACTCAGTTCGTAGTGTTCCTTTCCATTTTCAGTATTGTTTTCTATGTGGTATCATTACAGGGGTGACTACCACCCAGGTCCAAAGCCTTTGTTATCATATGTTCACCAACTCATCCTGAGAGGTCCGTACTCAGGGTGCTCCCTAGATTTCAGCACTTTGAAAGTCTTCAAGTTTTTTTCCACATGCTCCATAAGCTTGAGGGAATCTTTATTTTTAGCATTTGGTCTTTGATGGATATCCTGTTTCTTGACCTTTTCTGTTTATCCATTTGTTGCCCCATCTCTGACAAAAATAAAGTGCATTGTAAACATGCGACCTAAGTAAAAATGAGCAAAGGACCTGAGTGGACATTTCCCAAAAGAAGATATACAAATGGTCAGCAGGTGTTTGGAAATGTACTTAGCATCCTTTGTAATAGAGAAATGGAAAGGCTTACCTCGTACCTCTTGGAATGGCTGCTTCAAAGGACAAAAGAGAAGTTCTTTTGAGGAGGTAGGGAAAAGGAAGCCTTGTGTATCACTGGCACCAAAATAGCGTGGTGTGCCTTTCAAAATGCAAAGCAGACTTTTTCCTTCTGTTGGTCTCCTTGTGGAGGTCCTGTCCCCTCCAGGTCTTTCTATCTCCACCTTCTTTCATAAGATTCCCTGCACTTTGCCCAAAGTTTGGCTATGAGTCTCAGCATCTGCTTTGATACCCTGCTGGGTAGAGTCTTTCAGAGGCCCTCTGTGGTAGGCTCCTGTCCTGTTTCGTTTTCTCCCTCTTCCTATGTCTGTCCCATTTGCTTTCTGAGTGAGGATTGAGCAACTTCCCTAGGGTCCTCCTTCTTGTTTAGCTTCTTTAGGAGTATAGATTTTAGTATGTTTATTATATGACTAATATCCACTTATAAGTGAGTATATACCATGTGTGTCTTTGCTTCTGGGATACCTCATTCAGGATCATCTTTTCTAGTTCCTACCATTTGCCAGCAAATTTCATGATTTCCTCGTTTTTAATTGCTGTATAGTATTCCATTGTGTAAATGTTCCACAATTTCTGTATCCATTCCTCCGTTGAGGGACATATAGGTTGTTTCTAGATTCTGGTCATTACAAATACAGCTGCAATGAACAGGGTTGAGCAAATGTCCTTGTTGTATTCTTACGCATATTTTAGATGTATGCCTAGGAGTGGCATAGCTTTGCAAAGACTGATACTTGTACCAAGGACCATACATGGAGATAACCTAGACCTCTTGCTCAGATGTAGCCCATGGCAGCTCAGCCTCTGAGTGGGTACCCTAGTAAGGGGAACAGGGGCTGACTCTGACATAAACCCAGTGGCTGGCTCTTTGATCATCTCCCCCTGGGGTGATGGTGCAGCTGTACCAAGTCACAGAGGAAGACAATGCAACCAGTCGTAATGAGACCTGATAGGCTATGGTTTGATGGAAGGGGAGGAGGACCTTCCCTATCAATGGGCATGGGAAGAGAAGAGAGAGAAAGGATGGGATTGGGAGGGGATGAGGGAGGGTCCTACAGCTGGTATACAAAGTGAATACACTATAATAATAAAAAAAAATTTAAAAAAACACAACAGAGCAACGGAACCAGAAAATTTGAACACAGGGGTCTTCCTAGAGACTCATATTCCAACCAAGTACTATGCATGGAGATAACCTAAAACCCCTGCACAGATGTAGCCCATGGCAGTTCAGTTTCCAGATGGGTTCCATAGTAATTGAAAGAGGAACTGCCTCTGACATAATCTGATTGGCCTGCTCTTTGGTCACCTCCCCCTCAGGGGGGAGCAGCCTTACCAGGCCACAGTAGAGGACAATGCAGCCACTCCTGATGAGATCTGATAGACTAAGATCAGAAAGAAGGAGAGGGGGAACTCCCCTATCAGTGGATTTGGAGAGGGGCATGAGTGAAGAAGGGGGAGGGAAGGTGCGATTAGTAGGGGAAGAGGGAGGGGCTTATGGGGGGGGATACAAAGTGAATAAAGTGTAATCAATAAAAGTAAAAAAAAAAATATAAAAAAATTTAAAAAACCAAAATGCAAAGCAGATATGCCAAGTGGTCCACCAGTTCCATTTGGATCCACATTCAAAGGAAATGAATTAGTTTATGAGAGACACTGTGCTCAGGGTTCGCCATGTCAGGTCACAGAGACAATTGACATGTGTGACAGTAGATGACTGAATGGGTAAAGTCCCTAAGAGTGAATTTAGTAGGCCTGCTGCATGGCCCAGTGACTTGGTGAAGAAGGGTACACTGCATGTTAAAGTCCTTGAGGGCACATTGTAAGTTGTCCTCAGGAATGACGCTAAGCTAACGAGGAACTCCCTCCTTTAATTAGCACAGCGGGGAGAGCACTGCCACTTGTAAGGAGCGGAACCTCAGATCAGATACAGTGATCCTCACTTATATATAGTGATCAAGACTTATATCACAGTTGAATAAAAATTTTAATTTTGATATATTGAACTTTTTTTTTTAATTTTCATTTTTTTATCCATAGTGGTCTGAGATGTTTCTTGTAAAACTTCCTGTGATTAAATCTGTCAGGTCGTGGTTCCAGTACACCCTTTACATTATTGCAGCTTTTACCATGCTATGCTTTTCAGGAGGGCAATGTGTACTCATTGACTTCAGTTTTCAGAATTGTTGATGATGGTTTGGCTCTTTACACTTTCACATAACTTTTGAAAACATTTTATCAAGTTATGAAAAGAGAAACTCTTCAGTGGACTTTCTCACCAAAACAGTGTTAAACTAGAATAATTGACCAGTTCACACATTAATATTTTTTAGCAAAATGTTACATTTGTGAAATGTTTTACTTTTCAATAGTTTAGATCTTTCATTTCCTTTAGATACCAAAGATGTAGCTTTTATTGTTTATAAAAATGACAGGCAAAATGTAAATGACCTGCTAAATTTCTTCATTTCAGATATGTTTTCTTCTTTTTGCCATTCTCTACATTGTTTCCTACTTCATCATTACAAGATACAAGAGAAAATCAGGCAAGTAAAAACAGTTTTATTGCAGCTTTCATCAGAGCTGGGTGTCTGGGGTGGTATATGGGCTCCAGCAACACACTGTGGTACAGCCGTGCCGAATATGCTGATGGCTGAAGTAAACAGTTGTCTGGTACACTAAAAATAACCCCTCGGGAACCTGACTATGCTCAGGGTCACCCTCTTAGGCCAGAGTGTATGCTTATCACAATTCTCATGTCCAACTAAGAATAGTGTTGGCTGTTTAGCACCTGGGAAATTCCAGAGTTTATGAGGGTATTTGGTTCCTTGTGGCTGGTTCTAGCTGAGTGGCCCATTCATCCCAGCCCCCTTCATTTTCTCACTACAGAATTGTCTGTCCTTACTTTCTTCTTTTTCTTTTTTCTTTTTTAAAAGAAAGATGTATTTTTTTTATTTATTTTTGTTTTGTGTGCATTGTTTTATGGGTGTTTTGACTGCATGTGTCTTTGTGTACTTGTATACATGCCTCATGTCTGTAGAGGCCAGAAGAAGGTGTTGGATCCCCAGGAACTGGAGTTATAAATGGCTGTTAGCTTCCATTAATTGCTTGGACTCAAACCTGAGACCTCTGCAAGAGCAGCATGTGTTTTAAAATGCTGAGCCATTTCTCCAGCCTGTTTTCTTTCTCTAAAGCAATGTAGAATTTAGAATATTTATAATTGTACTGGTATTCAATTATATAGTATCCTTGAATTATTTCATTTTGTCCTGAGTTAATCAGAGGGTTTTTTCATAGCTTTATTATATTTTTAATGGACTGTATTATTTTTTTAATGGACTGATCAATTCATACATTTTTTGGGTTAGTGTTTTTTATATATACTCTAGCAGATGCCTAATGCCTTCTGTTAATTCTCAGCTATTGATTTTGAAATCATAGTGTTTTCTATCTGTGATGCTGGGCTGATGATTGACGCTGTATGATACTTAAGGGTTCCATGTATTAAAGATTCTTTGATATAAGATCATCAGTTTAAAACTCTTCAAACTAAAGGAACAGCTTTTGTTGCAGTCTGCTGCTTTAGAGCCGTAACCTGGCTCTGTGACTGTCTGGAAGTGTCCTTGGATCCTGTAATCTGCCAAAGATGTGAAGATCTGCAGGTTTAAGGCAGTACCTCCGCTGTTTTAAAGATGCTTGGTCACATGGCTTCACAGATTACACACATAGAAGAAAGGAGAGGGTGTGATTGAAAACATAAATGTATTGTTTAAAGAGAAGTAAGGGTGATGCACAGGAAAATGTAGACTTAGATGATCTTTAGGTTAATCCAGTAGTTGTAGGGAATGAGAAAGACTGTGGACCTTGTTGGTGGAATAGAATGGACATTGATAAGGAGATAGGGAACCTTTTCTCCAGACTTGGTGATGGATTAGGTGTGAGGGTAGCAGGATGAAAATTAACCGTGAATGTGATTTTGTAGTGCCTTTGATGGTAAACTTATTTTGGGAAGTCTGCAATTCAGGATAGATATTGCAAAGAATTACCCAAACACCCCATTGACAGTGAGGCAATTAAGCTCCCAGAGGTCCAGAGACGGAGAGTCTCTCAGGACATGAGACAAATGAGCTGGAAGGACTGGGAGGTTTTTGAAATCTTTGTGTACTTACAAAGTCTTTTTGGCTGGTAAGTTTATGAGCAAGTATAAAAGAGGTGGTGTCTAGGAAGCCTGAGAGGAGAGGGGTTGAGGAAAGGATCCAAATAAAGTCTGCCTGCTACTTAAGAAGATATGGAAAATGACATTTTTCTGTGTGTAACTTGGACAGTGCTTTTGAATTGTTGAGGAGCTGCTATCCAAGGTAGTTTAGGATGGTTTAAGAAAATATTATCATTTCCTTTGCTAAAGAAAATTCAAATTAAAGGAAAGCAGATAAGTTCTATTTTATAATAGAAATGTCTGTTGGCCATTAACAACAGAACGTTTTATTCATGAGCAGCTTATCCTGACATTGTCTACCTGCATTTCACAATGTCCTGTGTTTCTAAGTTTTATTTTCTTGAGACTAGGTGTTTGTAAAATTTTGACTTACATTCATCAGTTAATCATCAATTTTCAAAAAAAAATCACAACTCACTTTTTAGTTATACTCACTCTACATGTTATAATGAAATTTGCATTTGGTCTTTGTTGAAGTCAACAAAATACTCTTTGAAAGTCTTTGCCATTTAGTAATTGAGTTTTTAAAACTTTATTTTTTTTGTATATTTTTAGATAAATTCATTAAATGTTTTGTTGGAGATAAAATAGTAATACTATAAACATTTTTTTTTACAGATGAACAAGAAGATGAGGATGCTATAGTCAATAGGATATCGTATGTATTCTAAAATTTAATTGTTTCATTTGTAGTTTTGAAATTAAATTTTGGAGAAATAATTGTTTAAAGTACTAATCCTTATTAATCATATTCTTAAAAAGCACATGTAAGCAAGTACACACAGTTAATTTAGAACTGATTGTCTCTTGATAAAATGGGTTTATTCAAGCACATGCCTATAGTGGTAAGGGGTGGTGGTGGGATGATCAGGAGTTCAAGGCTAGCCTCAGCTACATAGTATGGAAGGCCAGCTTAGACTACATGAGACTATATTCCCTTCTCCTGCTAAGTGCTTATTTAAAGAAATGGCATATTTTATCTTCAGGAGACTTAATGAGGAAAGGGGCTTAATGGTAGAACAATTGTTAAGACCTTTTTTGGCATAGTGGGCACAGGCTTGTATTCTCGGCACTATCAAGGTAGAGGCAGGAGGATTAAGAGTTTGAGGATAGCCTGGCTATACAGCAAGACCCTGGGAAAAAGGGCCAACAGTCAAGCCGTCAGTTGTCTGTGTCCCGAGCACATAGACTCTCTGGTCAGAGTGACATTTGCCTGTGAATGCGCCCAGGGAACTGGTTGCCTTATGTTCCTTCTTTGTGAGATATAACATAAATGTACTTTAATTTTTCAAGTATCAAACTGAATGGCAAACAATTAAGTTCTTTCTATTAGATTTTTCCTATTAAAATGTGAAATCTAGGGCTGGAGAGAGAACTCAGTAGTTAAGAGCATAGGCTCTCTTGCAGAGGACCTGGGTTTGGTTTCCATTACCCATATGGTGACTCACAACCACCCCTAACCCCAATTTCAGGATCCAACAGGGTAGCATGGTGATATACTCTGTGAGAGTGTTGGTGTCACCGTAGGCTGTAGAGGGTGTCCATGCCGAAGGGAGCCTACCAAGAGTATTGGGAGCTGAGTGTCAGGACAGTTTAGTCCAGACAGGAAGATAGGTATCTGTATAGAATTGGATCAGTATGCTAGGAAATTGGTTCCTTGTAATGGTGGGAAGGCTTGATCAAAGTCAATAGGAACTAAAACCTAACTAAAAAAAGAGCAAACAAAAGCGACTATTGAGTTGTTGGTTTGGAGTTGGGGTTGTGTCATTGTGAACACAAGATTTTCAATACCTGCGGGTAGTAGAACTGCAATAAAAAAGCGAGTGTGGCCATGTGTTTGTATATGCAGAGCGTGCACTATATTCGTCAGCTTTATCTATCTCCTGAGGATGTCTACAAGTAGCAGGGAATTGATATAATGCCCAGGGAGTGTTTAAATAGAATTTATACTAAGTAGAACCTGGACTCTTTAAAGGCTAATAGAAGGGCTGGATAGGGAAAGGCCCAGGTTAATTTTGTATTTTACTTGTACAGAATGTAAAGATTATTGGGATATTTTAAAGGAAACAGTCCTCATACAAGTCCTCACGTCAAATTGGGACAATTTAAACCTCAAAGAATAATTCTTGTAGTGGATGTGAAGCCACTGCATATAGTGGGGTGATCTTGAGCCCATCCTGATAACCACCAGTAGATGAAGAGTTTGGAAGTGTGACAAGAACAGGGTTCTCTTGTAGTTGCAAACTTATCTTCCCATAAAATACTAACTGAAAGGAAGAGCATCTTAAGAGTAGAACATCCTGGTAGTCACTTCCTTGACCTGGGACACAGAAGACAGGGTCATTAGAGAGACAGCAACCATAAGTCACTCATGGCCTGCAGAGAAAACCACAGAGCAGCAGCTTGTGATATTCTTGCTTAAGAATATCACCAGCTTAAGGCTGAAGTCCTTGTTTCCCCATTCAGCTTTCCTTCTGCACGTTATGAGAATCTAGGCTTCCACTTTATGCTCCCAGCCTCTCAGCTGCCTTTGACTCCTTTCTCTAGCATCTTGTTGGGAGTCGTATTGGTTCTGTCTGTGTTCAGAGTCTGACTTGTCTTACCATTGTCTCTTCAGTTTTCCTTGCTTATTCTATTTTCTGTAGTGCCAATCACCTTTAACATATTATGCAGTTACCTAGTTAATGTTTTATTGTTTATTGTCTGTTTTATTGTTTATTGTCTGATGCCCTTGTAGCACTAAGTGGTGCTTTTACTTAGAAGCCCCGTGAAGGCAGAAATGGATGTCTTGTTTGCTGTTCTAACATGCCGGGTACAGTGCTGGCTCAGAATCAAGTGTTTGTAAATATCTGGTCAGTGAGTGAGCAGCACCAACATCCCTGGATCAGTCTATGCTATGTACATTAGTGGCCCTTTCAGATAGTTGCTTGTGGGCAACCCTGATGGTGCTACTGGTTGAGAACCACTGATCTGAGTGAGCACTTGGGGCTGAATTCACAAAGCTTTTATTGATTAACTGGACAAAGACTATGACAGTTACTTTTCTCATCACTGTGACAAAATGCCAGTCAGAAGCTAATAAAGGGGGAAAGATTTGTTTTTGCACAATTCACAGACCACATTGTTGGCAGTGTATGTCAGTGTTTTGTACTGGCCCCTGGACCAGAAAACAGAGCAAGCATACAGGCTGGAACCAGAGGTGGGTGAAACCTAATGACCTATTTTTGCCAGCCAGTCTACACTTTATGGAAACATATCAGTTTTCAAATGGTACCACAAATGTCACCTCAAAACATAAGCCTGTGGGGACATTTCAGATTCAGACCAAAACACTTAGAATGACATGTTGGCACATTTCACAGTTAGAAAGGAGGGAATGCTGAAGTTGTAGAAGAATTTCATGAAGGAAGTGCTTATCCACTTGAAATATCCAAGGTCCAGCATCCGAAGTCCTGACACTTGTTTGCTACCTGGAAGTGTGTGGCAGCCTTGTTGAAGTAACTTAAAGTGGTTTCACTGCCTTTGTCATCACTTCGTGAAGCTGCCTTACACTATTACCTGTAGATGATGGCTTTCTGAGTTATTGGTAACATTCAAGTGAGCTTTGACCATCCTCCTGCTAAGGAGATAGTCACAAATGGCAGATATTCAAGAAAATATTTTGTTGTGCTGCTGCCATAATCACAAAAGGTCCAATATTCTGCATATATATTTTTACTACCCTAGTTTGGAAGGTGACATTTCTGAAAGGGTGTGTTTTATGATTGTACAAGCAATGTCTCTTCTATACTTTGTAGCTCAGGGCCTTATTTTAAGGGCTGTTGTCAGTATTAGCTCTACCACATGAGTGGTGCTGTGTGCGCAGCAGAAGTGGCTTTCTGTTCTCTGGGTAGGTCTATCACAGTAACAAAGTCTGGAGTGGAAGCCAGGGATGGTGGTGCACGTCTTTAATTCCAGTATTCAGGGACGCAGAGGCAGGCGGATCTCTATGAGTTCAAGGCCAGCCTGGTCTACAATGCCAGTCCAGGATAGCCTAGGCTATACAGAGAAACCCTGTTTCAAAACACCAATCCAAACCAGACCAAACCAAACCAACCAACCAAACAACAAAAACTAAAACCCCCACAAAACGTAAACAAACAACAACAACAACAAAAAAAAAAACCAACAAACACAAAACACAGAGTGTGGAATAGAGGCTTCATATCTGTTGAAAAACAGAAATATAGTAATATTGACCAAATACAATGCGTTTTCGGGGCCACTCGTGACTTCCTGATTTATCTCTTTGTTTCAAGTGAATTCCTTTTGTCAGGGCATGGGTTCCAGTATTGAATTTGGAAGTTATGTTGCCCTGGTGTGTGGTCAAAGTATTATGGAAGCTAAGAGGAAAGAGAAGCTGATTTTACTGAGAGGAACAAGGTAGGAGTTGAGGGACAGGGGTCCATAGTGTTGGGAGATTGTACAGGTCCTGGGATGGTGAGTATTTGGATTTGGCCTTGGCTTTGATGTTGACAAGGGTGATGCTGATCAGTTGATGGGCAACTTTTCCAGGACATGTGCTCTTCATTCTGCTGGATCAATTCATGATGCTTCTGTGTCTGAGCTGGATTTTGTTTGGAGTGGCCGGTTGATCTACATTAAATAGTTGGCTTTAGCTTTACTGAACCCAGGGGTTTCCAGGGTACTTGTGCCTGTGTAGGCATGCACTTCTGTTTGCCACAGGATGGTGTTGAGTGCAAGGTTACTTGATTAATGCATGGTAGGGCATTTCTTGCATTTCTTTTCACATTCTTTCAATATTAACGTCAGTGTGATGGATATTCAGGTTTAATCTTTAATTCTAATTAAGTTTTCTTTGCCACTACTGCTGCTCTGTCTTCTGCTTGCTTACTTTCTTCCTCCCTTTCCCTCTCTTTTCCCCTGGTTTTCTTTGTTTTCTGAAACAGGATCTCATTATGTTGGCCTGGTGCTTTCAATGTAGACTAGGCTGGCCTTGAACTCACAGAAACCTACCTCTCTCTGTTTTGCCATTTATTTATTTATTTATTTATTTATTTAAATTTTTTTTCAAAGTTAGGTGTTCGTTATAAAAAATTGAAAACTTTTCAGAAATGTGTAACTGAGAGGTGAAAGTCCCTACTGATTGTACTTTGTCCTGTGAGTTGTTATAAATGATGATAGATTTTGAAATAACACATTTTCTTGGTGCCAATTGAGAGCCCACTTTGTATTTATTGTCAGCATTTTTTATTCAGTTTGCTTTGTTGACTTAATTTATTTTAGATTCTTTTTTACATATTGAAGCTATATTACTTAAGAAGTATTGTACTATTTGCGATATTGATTAGCATTATAGTATTATTTACTACTGCTCTGCTATTTACTACTATAATTAAACCTTGTTTAATGAGTTATCAAGGGCTTGTTCAGTGTGATGGTTCAGGAGATGGTTCAGTGTGTCAACATACTTGCTGTGTGAGCTTAGAGACCCGAGTTCAATATTGGAATCTTTGTAAAAGTAGAAGGAGAAAACAGATTGTACATAGCTGGCCTCTTAGCTTACATGTATGCCATAGCACCCCTTCCTTCCCTGGCATCATACACAAATACACACACACACACACACACACACACACACGCACGCACGCATACACATGCACACACATGAACGCTTGCGCACACACACATGCATGCACACGCACACAAATAGTAATGGTAATTTCTTAAAAAGTGTGCAGCACTCTTTAAGAGTATATACATCTTTTAGGGATACTTTTTAGGGATTTTGCCTGGTTGCACTTTTTTTTTGTCCCTCAAGTTGCATATCTGTAATGGGATTCTTACATAATACTCTGGCTGTTGCTTGCATGCTCATTACTTTCCAGACCCCCAGTGATGATGCCTCTTCTCTCTTGCAGGTTGTTTCTGAGCACCTTCACTCTAGCAGTTTCAGCTGGTGCTGTTTTGCTTTTACCCTTCTCAATCATCAGCAATGAAATCCTGCTTGCTTTTCCTCAGAACTACTATATTCAGTGGCTAAATGGCTCCTTGATCCATGGTTAGTATATATTACTTAATAGAATAATGATTAATGCATCAGGTTTTTTTTTTTTGTTTTTTTTTTTTTCAGTTTCCTTCACAATTTGTAACATCTTCCAGTAACTATTGTCTTTTTAGGGTTTCTATTGCTGTGATAAAATACCGTGGCCAAAAGCAACTTGGGGAGGAAAGGGTTTATTTCAGCTTATACTTTTATATCATAGTTTATCACTGAGGGAAGTTGGGGCAGAAACTTGGAGGCAGGAGCTAATATAGAGGCTGTGGAGGGGTGCTGCCTACTAGCTTGCTTCTCAAAGCTTGCCTATCCTGCTTTCTTATATACTCCAGACCACCAGCTTAGTGGTGTCAGAAATAGTGTGTCACACTATACCCCCAGCTGACCTGGAATTAACTATGTAGGCCTTGAACTTATGGCAGTTCTTGTGTTTCAGACTCGGGAGTGTGGAATTATCGACGTGAGCTACTAGCCTGGGTATTTCCTGTGATTTTGATTCATTTAAATATTTTAGGAAAAGACTTTTTGGTTCATCTGGTTAGGTCAGAGGACCTTAGTGTCTACAGAAGACTGGATGGAGCAGAGGCTACACTTGCTATTTTGTTTTCTTGGCCATTTTAAAACACAATAGAATAAAAACACGGTCAGGTTAACATTTTAATGTAATTTAAAGAGTAATGATGGTAGCTGGGTGTGGTGGCACACACTTTTAATCCCAGCACTGGAAGACAGAGGCATGCAGATCTTCGCGAGTTCCAGGATATGCATGGATAGCTTTCTTATTGCTCTTCCTGGTCATACCCCTTCTAGTTTCTTAGTGTTGGTTTTTGTGGGCAGTGTTGTTAAGTATATCATTACTTCCTGATGTCAAGCTAATTTTATTATGTTTATATAATTTGATAGTTATATGGGAAGTTAGATACACTGTTCATAAACACCAAAGGCAGGCACAATTGGGATACCTCACTATGAGATATTTTTGTATAGACACAAATAATTTCTCTTATTCCAGTGCAGAGAGATTTTATAATAGTGAAGACAGATTGTGCAACAATATCTTGAACAGTAGTCAGCAACAAGTATTTACTGTTTTTTAAGCTAAAAATTTTAGATTTTTTTTCTAATTTATGAGCCTTCTTTTGAGTTAATGGTAAAATATCTTCCTTTAACAAAAATTATCTGACTTGCCATTTTACTTAGAAAAACTTGTATCCATTGGGTGGTGGTGGCATATGCCTTTAAGCCCAGCACTGGAGAGGTAGAGGCAGGCAGATCTCTGAGTTTGAGGCCAGCCTTGTCTGCAGAGTGAATTTCAGGATTCCAGGACAGTCAAGGCTACACAGAGAAACTCAGTCTTGAAAAACAAAAAGGACAAAAAGACAAAAAAAAAAAAAAAAAAAAAAAAAAAGGAAAAGTAGTAGTAGCAGCAGTAGTAGCAGTTGTACCTACAGCCCCTTGTTTCTATTACAGAATTTGTAGTTCCTCTAATTGGCGACTGAGAGGGGGAGTCCCTTCTCTGTCCAGCACTGCCTTTCCTGATGCTGGCTGCTGGGAGGTCTGGAGGGCTTTGGCTATGAGATAGAGCTGCCTTTTCAGTTGCTGGTAATGTTTGTGCTGTAGCCGCTAGAGAGCGATGTGAGTCTGAAGTGACCATCAGCGTCATGTAATTGTGAACCAGCAAGGAAGGTATTGTCTAGTAGGACTGTTCTGTGTGACACAGGAGTAAGCTTTACGTCTTCTCTTCTTGTGAAAGTACAGGAGGTGCTATTGCAGAAATGACTCTGAGTGGCACCTTAAACCTAGAATGAACAGGAATACTAAAATAAACAAAGCAGAACATGGCATCACTCTTTTTGTAGTACATGTATTCACCATGGCTTATAGCACATGTAACTTGAATCTTTTCAAGCACTGAATCTGTGCTGATTATCTGTCTACCCATCATATTCTCTGCAAACATTTTTTAGTGCCTGGCGGTCTTCAGAGGTTCCCTTGTTGCTCTGAGGAATGAGACCACTTATTCTGCAGTGACTTCTACCGATATGAGATGGGGGCTGAGCGTCCCCAGGCACCAAGCAGCTTTCTGTCCTCTGTGGACGCTTGTTTAACTGTCTCCTATTGGGTATCCAGGGGATTTTCACAATGTCTTTTGACTTTTTCATAAATTACATAGATAATTATTAGGAAATTATTAGGCTAATAAATATCATTGCCAAACTGTTTTCTGAAGTAGGTGCTTCTGACAGGTGGTTCAGATGCCTTAATTTCTAACACAATCCCAGCAACATCAAACACTTATATCTTTGATATGACTAAGAACTAGTTTTCATGATTATCATTGGAAAGATTAGTGATCTCTCAATTTTAGTTCATCCATAATATCTAGTACATATATAATTTGTCATGTTCTTTTCACTCTCTGTTTTTTAAATATTGAACTACATGGTCTCTTTATATGTAAAACTAAACCTCTATATAGTGTTTATTTATAGTTGCTATTTTGATTTTGTATGCTTTTTGGGATCTAGAATTTTTGTGTTTTTGTATTGACTGCTCTTTTTCTTTCTTTGGTTTCTCTAATTGTTTTTCTGTGTGGAAGAATCTCTTCTACCATGACTGTAACAAGCACTAACTTCTTGTCGGCACTTTGGTTTGTCCTATTATACCTCAATGTCAAACACTTAGTCTTGGTGAAAGCCCGGTATCAGGCCAAGAACTGTTTCTCAAAAGGCAAACAGTTATCCAAAGAGGCCTCCACTGTGATTCTTTGATTCAGCATGCCATACATTTTAAGCTGGAGCAGAGGAGGCAGAAGTGTCAAAGTGGCATAATTGGTATAACTAATATAGCAATAAAACGATAAAGGGTAGATGGAAAAGTTCATTTGCAATGTTACTTTTGTGTGTGTTGACAAGTTAGTAGAAAGACAGGGAACGTAGCGTTGCGTGTGGATAAGCAGTGGCACGGAATAAAGTGTGCTCAGGAGCTAGAGCGAGGGCAGGGGTTGTGCAGCACTGTGCCACACACCGCTGAAGATCTACTTCTCTGCCGTATTCTTAAAATTAAAGCCGGTAACGGCAATTTTGAAAGAGGAGAGTGATAGAGTTAAATTATATTCTAAAAGTCTGGAAATAATTCTCCAGTTTTGGAGTTCTTTTTCTCCAGTGGTCCGTCCAGTGTTTGCTTCATTTTTATTTGCTGGTGTAGAGGTATACATTGACAACTGAGTATCCAGCTCAGGTTCAGTTGTTAAAATGAGCCTCAGTGATCTGGCTGGTCTCTGTGAAGACTGCACTTTATTTTGATTTATCAGGAACAGTGAAAGACCCGTCTTTTCTTGCAAAATCTTTTTTAAGCTCCAGAGAAGGCCAAACAAGCTTTCAGAGTATCAGCAGTCAAATTTATAAGAAAGAGATATTTACTAATGAATAGTAATTAAAAGATAAACCTTAATTTTTTTTGTTCCGCAGTATTATATGCTACTAATAGTTTACTAGTGAATTGATACTGATAGTTCAGCTTGTTGTCACAGTTTGCATCAGCACAGTGGCTAGACATTGAAATACTGTTTATCATATGAAAAAACAGTCTTGGTGTTCAGAGTAGGAAAATGACTTAGGTTTCCTTAGTTTCCTGGATCCAAACTCTGGATGGTTTGTTGTTCATTATGGATGAGGGTGCCAGGAAATATATCTTGTTAGATAAAGAGGTAGGGGAAAGGATACTTATAGTTCATGGTACCCCTACCTCAGTCTCTTTACTTTGTGTAGTACAAAGGCTCAAATCCAGGGCCTTTGCTCTATCAGATCAGTAGACTCTAACCCTGAAGTTCTGTCAACATGATCTGAATTTTGTATTTTGGACTATTTTGTGACACCAGCAGGTGGCGGTAGAAGATAAAGAACCTTATGGAGAGCTGGCAATTCGGTCGTGTATTTGAACCTGCAGCTGAAATGCCTTCTGGAGCTGGGCATTGGCTACTTAACCTTCAGTAGCTTGTTGTGGATACTGACTTTGACAAACCATTCTAGTTTTGTATTCTGTTATATTGAAGTGTGTAATTTTAGCCTTTGGAAGCAGAGATTTGATATTTTTTTATTTTATAAATTAGTATAAATATATACAATAAAATATGTGTCATGTCGGTAACTAATTTTCAATTGTATAAAAACTATAGAATGTGTTTAAGGGAAAGACTATAAATTTATTGAGCTCTGAAAAGTTGATCAGCCACTTTGCAGTGCATGTTGGACACACACACACATTTATTTTCTCCAGAAAGGACTAGCCTTGTACTCATGGCCTTTTGCCTCCACCTCCAAAGTGCTGTAATTACAGGTGAGCCACCACACCTGTCTTTAAATACACTTGTTATGTTTGTATATTAGACAAACTTTTATTGCTGAGTTCAGACTTTCTTATATGTATGACATTTAATAATTAGATCACCCTAATTCAGTTCATTTTTCTTTCTTCTGGTTAATAAATATAATTAAAAATGCATGGCAAAGACATCTAATTTCATCACATGATAGGTTTATCAGTGTGATAGTCTCCTGTGACTTTTTTTAAATGTGTCCACAAGATACTGTTTTCTTTTTGTGAGATGGGGTCTTACCGCATAGGCCTGTCTTGCTTGCCTGCAACTTGCTGTATAGCCCATGCTGGCCTCAAACTTCGATGGACCTCCTGTTTCTACCTACCTGGCCTTGGGATTACAAGCATGTGCCACTACTCCTGACTCTTCTACATTGTTTTTGGGGATTCAGTTTGGGTGTTAATAGTCATGCAGCAAGCACTTCATTGATGAGCTAGCACCATTGCCCTATTTTAGTTTTAAATGAGTGACTTGTTAGAATCATTATCATTATTATTTTTGATCTGTGAGTTTTTGCCTAAGGCAGATTTTACTTTTTTTTTTTTTTTTAAATGAGACAGGGTTTCTCTGTATAGCCTTAGCTATCCTGAACTTGCTTTGTAGACCAGCTGGCCTCAAACTCACA